TCTTACAGTAGGAAGTCAGTGCTATTGCAGAAATTCAAGCGGCCAGGGTAGACAGCTGGCAAGATTTTCCGGAAAAGCGGCTGATTTTCCAGAAAAACTGGCCAGTCTAGACACAGCCAAAGAGTTACTGATAATTTTAGAAACATACATTATACTGAATTTTCCAAACTTAATTTTATTCACGTACTTATCAACTACCTGGCAATGGTAGAATAACCAGGAGTGGGATATAAGGTATTATTTATTTATACAGTTCATCATTTATGGTATTTTAATCTTCCTGATGAGTACAGGTGGTATTTTGGTATTGAAAAAGGAGTTAAAGAAACAAATCTTTAAAAAATGAGAGAAAGAAAGAGTTGTTCATTGGCAGTTTCTACTGTCACTCAGTTGTGTGTCGATACAAGCTATACAAGCAGGGCATAGTCATCTTCAATGATGTGTATTCACTGGGAACCATTCCTAAAGTTACTTAATGAGCCTTATGATCATCCATTTTTTCAGACTGTGCAAAAGACAAATCTTCCATTTGTCCATATTCACTAATGCATAGACCCACACAGCAGGCTGGACTTTCTCTTCTTGTGTGAGGTCTTTATGTTATCATTGTGTCTTCCAAAAACTACTACTTTCTCGGTTGAATTGCACTGTATATAATTTGTATTGCAATTAAAATTGCAGCAGGATTAGTGAAGTTATGCTTTGCGTCCAACTACACCGTGGTAAGACATCCTATTTTTCTGTGTTGTGAAAGATATTTGAAATGAGTTTGCTCTCTCTAACACGTGAGCATAGCTGAATAAGGAACATAAGGCCAGACTGGCCTTAATTCTTTGTGTCAAAGTGCCACTTCAGTGCACAGAACCACTTTATCTTCCTGTCTCCCTGAAGAGTTGGAAAGGAGCAAAATATACTGCTTGGCAGTGTATTTACACTAGGGTGTGTGTGTTAAATATCGGTTAATTGAATAGTTGATTAACCTCATGAATTCTTATTGGTTAGTCAACTATTCTGTAATCCCCGGGCAGCCCCTGTCCCGAGGGAGGGGTCTGAGCTCCTAGACCCAGCACAAGCTGGAACTGAGCCGGGTTGTCTGTTGGTCTGGCTCCTAATACCTGTTAAATGCAGAGCTGCAGCGGGGGTAGGTCTAGAACGCAGTGCAAGCCAGGACTGAACTGGGCTGCTGGCCAGCCTGCTAAAAAATTTACTGGTGGTGGGGAGGGGGAAAGAGATGGGATGCATGTAGTCTATAGCATTAACTGATAAGCTTTTGCTTATCGGTTAATCAACTATACGATTACATCCCTAATTTACACCAGCATATTTGGGAGGGCATGTGGTACTAAATCCATATTGCCACTCCCTCCCTGGAACAGAATGACTCCAAAATCATGATCTCCTAACTGAGCTATTTCAGGAGTAGTGGAATAAGATTCCACCTTCTCTTGGAAAGTTGTGAGATGACACTCAAACCCATAATAAATGGCCCTGCACTTTCTGTGGCACCTGAGCCTTTGAAATAGGGAGTGTGGGGTGCTTGATCCTTTGCAATGTACAAGAGCCCCTGTGGAGCTCTTGTACATTGCCAAAGCAGAAGTGCAGCTCCCTGCCACGCCTCAGTCTTTGAAATGGATGCCCCGTGGGGAGCGCGGGACCAGCAGAGGAGTTTCCCGCTGGCCCCACGCTTCCTGCAGGGCTTCTGCTTTTTTGGGGTAATTGAATAGTCTAGTAACTGCCTTGATCCTTTGCAATGTACAAGAGCCCCTGTGGAGCTCTTGTACATTGCCAAAGCAGAAGTGCAGCTCCCTGCCACGCCTCAGTCTTTGAAATGGATGCCCCGTGGGGAGCGCGGGACCAGCAGAGGAGTTTCCCGCTGGCCCCACGCTTCCTGCAGGGCTTCTGCTTTTTTGGGGTAATTGAATAGTCTAGTAACTGCATGAATTCCTAGCGGTTGCTCAACTATTCTGTGGTCCCCAGGGGGGGGGCTGGCAGCCAGTGTGCTCCCGT